CTTTCTGCGTTTCTCAGTTGTATTTTTAAAACAAGCTGCTGTCTGGCAAATGAAAGTCACGTGGTCTGGTCTGTGACCATGGCTAACCCCAGTCCCCTGCCGGTCAGGAAAAGTCTTGTGTTAAGATAGCTTCAAATGTTCTTTTTCTGTTTCCAGCATTTTAGACGCGATCAACAGCTAGTCGAAATCTCTAGAATACGTCCAGTGTGGAGTTCAAGTTTAAGAGTCATTTCAGCCTTTTTTGTGGTTCTGTTGAAGAACCAGTTAACATAGGAGATAGGAAATAAATAACTGTTACTTGCCTGTTGTCAACTGAGCGCTGTTAGTTGTGATTGTAAATGCGGGAATTTAAAAATAAATATAAAAATAACGTAAGGAACTGGCTGTGTGTGTCGTTATGCTTTCTAGTGTACTCTCTTCCACAATTTTTTATGGTTCAAACCAACATGGAATAACACTTAAAACCTCCTTCACCCTCCCCTCCCCTCCCCCCTGTACTCTCATTGATACTGGAAGGACACAAAATTGACATACAACTTTTATTACAGCCCTTATATGAATATATTAGCACGTGTACATCTTTGACTACCAAATTTGCTTTAATGTTCAACCTAGACAACCAAATCTACTTTATTTGCAATTTGCTCAAGTACATCTTAGAATACCAAATTTCCTTTATTTTGTAAACATTGCCTAGGTAAGTCTCACGCTACCAAATTTACCTTACTTTTTAATTAATTATTTGATGTAAATCTTACATCTCCAAATTTATTCTATATTGTAGTTTGCTCATATACATCGAACATTTCCAAATGTACTTAGCTTACTTTGTATTGTAATTTGCTCTTGTACATCTCACATTACCAAATGTACTCTTGCTTACTTTAAATTCTAATTTTGCTCCCGTAAATCTTACATTACCAAATTTACCTTACTTTGCAGTTATTTCATGTACATCCCACATTACCAAATTTAGTATATATTGTAGTTTGCTCATATACTTCACACATTACCAAATGTACTTTAGCTTACTTTTTATTGTAGGGAGGCGCGGTGGCCTCTCATGTGTTGTGTTCTTGGGCAAGACACTTAAATATCACAGTGCCTCTCTCCACCTGGGTGTATAAATGGTTAACCGGCAAATTTAATGCTAGGGAGTAGCCCTGCGATGGACTAGCATCCCATCCAGGGGGGAGTAGAAATACTCCTAGTCGCTTCCTGCTACTGAAACCGGGATAAGCTCCGGCCTGATGAGCCACTTGGCTCGTATACAAACTTTACCTACCTTTACTTTTTATTGTAACTTGTTCATGTACATCTTACTTTACCAAATTTACCTTACTTTGTAATTTATTTGTTCATGTACCTCTCACAGTATCTAGCTTACTTTTTATTGCAGGTTATATCTCACATTACCAAATGTACTTTAGCTTACTTTGTATTGTATTTTGCTCGTGAACATCTTACCTTAGCATATTTACTTTACTTTAATTTGTTATTTATTTGTTTAATTTATTTTGACCCTTACTTATTTATTTAAGAAACAGAAAACATGTACCGTGTTTCTATCGAGTTATAGAAACACGAGTGGAAGTTTGGGAGAACGAGAAATTCGAGTTCTCCCAAACTTTCACGAGTATTTCTATAACTCGATAGAAACACGGAGAACATGTTTTCTATTCCTTTTAGAAAACACCGTGACGAAAAAAAGGAAAACAACTTGTTAACTTTGATTATCCAGTAGAGCAGTATTCGACAAATGATCAAAACCCACTAGGAAGTGAGGATGGCTAACGATGGCGAGGATGGAAACGAATTGTGATTTGGAGATTTGAGAAAGCGTCAGGATGTCAGTTTTTCAACGATTCAAGTTTGGCTCGAAAATCGTTGAAATTTTGCACTAATGTTGCTGCAGTGTGGACGTTCTTCAAGAAATTGCTTTTAATCATTTAGTTAGCACTAATTAAGTTCTCACTTATTACATAAATTTACGGACCATTTCGTGAATTTATAACAGTTCTAAGCAAATATATCGCGACGGTGTCCCTTTAAATTACTTTCCTTTATCAATAAGAAAGAACGTTGAGGATAGTTTGCTCATCTCTGCGTCTGCGCGTTACACGCAAGGGCAGGTCGCCCCTGGATGATTAGGAAGCGAGACATAATAGCATTTCAGTACTGTTTTTGTCTTCTTTACGTATCTGGGATAAAAATAGTAAACAAGGTCAATTAGAAATTTCTCTCCAAAAGTATTCTTTCTCGCCAGTAATCCTTCCCATCTTTTTCCCCATGGTAAATCGGAAAACCCTTTCCTACTGTGTTAATTTCATAATGCCATTTAGGCTGAATTAAGACATAGCGTCCCTGACACAATGTATTTCGGCTAGACAATTCATGCAAAACGTTGCAATACCATTAATCAATTCAGTCTAACACATGCAAACTAAAGACCGAATTTCAGGTAGCCATGCACCTTTCAAAGGCACAATCTACTTTGTCTTCACGTAAAATGTCGTTATTTCTCCGACCATAGTACAAACGTACGACTTGTCGACGTGTTAACACAACAACAAGCCTTAGTTTTTAGATGAAACTGAATAATGAAAATTCGATTCACCCCATGCCATGACAATCACTTACTTTGATTTTTTGCACCTGCCCAATCCCCAAAAACCGCACTTTTTGCTGTAATAGGTTTTATAGCTGGTATATGCAATGACGTTGGAGCAGCGACGCTCTGAGCGACAATCATCTGGAAAAAACAATAGCAGCGAACAGTTGTCATTAGCAAATAATGCGAATGATAAAGACGAAATGTTCATTTGTCGCCAGCGTGGGACAAATAGAATACCAGTGATGAAAGAAAAGATTGATCAGCTCATTAAAGTAGCTACGTCACGTTTTGCGTATGTTGAAAAGTTCTTCCTAAACTTTTCAAGTTCGTCGTTTGTAATCCGTGTTAACCTTCTCCATCTTTAGCCATCCTTGTTCCGTTATGGTTTATTATTATGTGTTTCTTTCAATCCAAAGGTAATTTTATTTGTAAGTGACCAAAATAACTCAAAATATCGTGGCTGACCTTCTGTTATCGCTCAAGACGGGCAAGGGCGTTAGCAATCGCGACGTCATTGTCAATTGTTCATGTGGCTATATCACGATTTTTCCTTGGGGCGAAAATCAACATATCATAATATACATGCACAAATTTCAGCAGTCTGATTGGCTGAGAACACGCCAAGTAATCACAAACAGTGCAGAAAGTTGAAATTGAGAGCTAAAAGTTGAAATCGAGTGCAAAAAGTTAAACTTTAATTCCATGTATATTATTAATAATTATATTTTTTATCGTGCAATTTGAAATAAATTAGCACTAGTAAAAACTTATGCTTATTAATTTATTCCAAATTGCACTCGTAGTCATTTGATTACCTTTACAAACACCACAATTTACGCAGTAGAAAACGGTAAACCAACTTACCATGACATGTACTGTTAGACTTGTAGAAGCAGCGGTTACACGGGCATTCGTAGGAACCCTGTGTGTTCACACAAGATGAGTTTGATGGGCAGCTGTAAGATCCTTCGGAACACTCGTTGATATCCGTACAAGTGGGAGAGTCTTCATTTCTCCAACCAGGCAGACAATTGCAGTGGTATGAACCAATAAGATTGACACATGATGATGAAGATTTCACTGGACATGAATCAGGCGCCTCTGAGCATTCATCCACGTCTACACGTGTGGATAAATTGTGTTTTAACAAGACATTGAAAATGAAGACTTGAAGTTTGATATTTATAGATTATTGTACAAGCGTAGTTAGAATCGTGCCCGAACAAGGTTGGTGTATAATATGGCATAAAGAGCGTGACCATAATTTGCCTGCGCGAAACATCTCGAGCGGGCAAGATAGCGCCATCTTGCCCGCTTGTATGGCCAATCACAGCGCAGGAATTAATTCCTCTTGCATGCTCGTGGAACTAGCATATAATTAAAGTCAAATTCTGCTTCAATTGATCTTAGCGGTCGGAGGAACCATAACATGACATTCAGTTCCCAGAAACGTTATCCTTCAAGTTATAGTTTTCCTCTGATTTGTTTTATGCACATACCTTCACAGCTGTCTCTTCCGTCTCCAAACAATCCTTCTTTGCACGTGCAGTTGAGTGAGCCTTTGATATTCTCACACGTGGCGTTGATATGGCAATTGCATGCGTTTTTCTCTAAATGGGATAAAATTGGAGCTGTCTCAATTAATATTCAATTCTGAATTTAAGTAATTGTCTTAGGTACCACGTTCGCTGTGATCGGTCAAGTAGTAGGCGTATTCCATTCTTCGGTTCGCTAAACTTGAAGTCGTTGCTGTCACCAATATGTCTCGTGATTTATCACAAAGTTTTTCGTAACTTTTATGGCAAATAAACAACAGATACCGTAGGTCTGAAAAGACATTCTTAAGAACGCAACCCATGACTTAAAGATTGGATCCAAAACACAAGAGATAGCGCGTTACGTTTGAATTATTTGTTTCAGCTGTTTGCTCGGCCCCTCTAGCACTTGAGCTACAACACTGCTGAGGGTAAGTAAAAGTTAAATATAGATTCTTTTTTTGTATCCCAGGAAACATAAAAGGGATAAAAGAACCAATGTTAAACTGAAAAATAATCTGGGATTCACTTGTACTATTCGTCTGCGTTTATGCATTTTAAGTTATTGTTACACTAACCGCGGCAGCTCTCTTTCCCGTCTCCAAGAAATCCTTCTTTGCAGGTACAAATGAATGAGCCTTTGGTATTTGCACACGTGGCGTTATCATGGCAATCATGTAGACTGTCTCTGCATTCGTTAATATCTAATGGAAAAAAAAAAACCAAGGAAATGAGAAAAAAAAAAACGTCTCTCGGGTTGACATAGACAATCCTATAAGACAAGAACATGTTTCTCCTGAGCGCCTTTTTGTCCTTTTTATGCCTAGTCATTGAATTGTGATATGATTGGATGCAATGAACAGCTAATTCCTTCGTGAGATAACTAAGAATAGCTACCCATTCTCGCTCCCTGAACCCATTCTGTCTCTACGCTAGCGAATCCAAGGCAACAAAGTAAGTAAGAAAGGTCTTTGTTTACCTATAGTTAAAAGAAGGGATCGTTATGAAGCCTGGCAAACTTGAAACTGAAGGAGAAGACAAGATGACAAGATTTATGTTAGAAGACCCATAACCCGGCACAATCTTTTGTTTTTTGCTCATTAGCTCTGCATGAATTACGTAACCAAAACGTTTCTATTGGTTGATTCCTTAGCCAGAAGTAAACGGCTATTGTGCACGGTCAAGGTCAAAATACTCGAGCAAAAACATACAGAAAGAACACTGTTGCACTTCATCTGCATTGCCCTTCCTCGACCACATGCATGTTTTTATCATGCATGGACTTCACCAGCTAATCGTTAGTATAGGCAGAAGGAGCTCTGGAAACGAGCAGGGATTTACCTTGTTCACAATAGTTTCCAGTCCATCCCTTTTTACACGAGCACGTGTAGTTGACTTGACGGTTCACACAGGTTGCATTGTTCAAGCACCGATGTCTGATGCAGAAGTCAGGAACTACACAACAACCATAAACACCCGTTAACATATGCTTGATTGACAGCATAGCGGAGGCAAGAGACATCAAAAGGCTGTCTATCAAATGAGTGTAGTTAAATAAAGAAATCTTTTGTAATCTTTAGCCGTAGCTATATCAGCCCTAGCCGGTTTTCTTGCGCGTCTTCCATCCTGATCGAATTGGAATATGGAAATGTAGTTTCTTCTGAAGGGAGGAAAACAGGAGAATCTGGAGAAAGACCCTCGAAAACAGGCGAGAACCAACAACAAACTCAACCCACATATGGCACGGGCCGGAATTGAATCTTGGTGGGAGAAGACCGATCTAACTACTGCGCCATCCCTGCTCCCTTGTTAGCTTACCTTCTGTCCTCATGTCACAACGAGCGACAATGGAGTTTCCCGATCTCACGGGATCTAACCAGTAATTACCGCTGACCGTATGTGCTCCTTCACTGGCCTTAATCTCTGCACACGAATCAGCAGGTAGCTCAGGAATGGATCCGAGGGGAACTGGGGATGAAGAATAACGTTTTTAAATTGACTAATAAGAGAAACATTTTGCTCTCTGTAATATCAATTTTATGCTCAAAAATTGGAGAAAACAGTACCTCTGGGGCTCTTCTCCATGTAATATTTTTCAACATTGTTGACGAAGTCTTTCGGTGTGGCATTCTTGGTTCTGTTGTTCATCTCACAGATGCCAATGGCCATGACGTAGTTAAAGCTCTGACATCTGACGTCAGAAGTGCATGCCTCTATACAGTCGATCGAGAGGGGCCTGGCCCGGAACGTCTTAAAAGTGTGGCCCTTCAGCATCTTTTGATAAATCGAGTAAACATCGCCTCTACACTGCTGACTGGCAATGCTGCGAAACATTAATGACACTACAAATAGTGTCAAAATAATGTCCATCCGTTGGTGTGTCATGATTGCTTGTGCATGTACTGGTCTGTCACAGCAGTGGTGCTCACAATCCCTTTCAAATAGGAAATAAGTTTGAGTGTTAATGTTGAGCCCACGTAGGATATATACGAGGTGATAAATAACAAACGACGTACGCAGCGCCGAGTTTGTTGTAATTGCCTCGTATCCTACAAGCGGGGTGAATGGAATTATTGTTTTATTCAATTATATAATCGGCTGGATGATGTAGACATTTCAGTTTGATTTAAGGTCATTCCTCACATTTGCATCGCGCATCCTTACTGCGCATAATTTATGGCGTCATTAGCGCGCGCTCGTGCACGCGTATATTGAAAACATGACGGATTTGCCTTGATATTGAGCTCTGTCAGTTGAAAAATGGTCCTAGCTCACCAACGAGCATGGGCACCCCAATTTTTTTTCCAGTCGTTGTAATCAACTAATCATAAGCTTTGCGTG